GTCCAACCAGCCTCCCGTACTGGTTACCCCACGTAGTTATCCTACAAGTGCTCCCACAGAAGCGGAAATATGAAATGATCTTTAAGCCCTGGAACTTCACAAGATGTCTGGATCAGGTAAATTATAGCTCCTTTTTAAAGATAGTGAAGAATTTCTCGTGAGAGAGCTTACCATTCTGTTTTCGAAGATCTGGAAGGATGAAATCCTATCACTTAGGGCTGTCGCAGTGTTTGTTCCAACCGCAGCGGCATAAATCTGAAGCTGTTAGCGTCCGTTTTGTTATGCAGTCCGATTTGTGAGAGAAAAATTCCCGAAGAGCAAACCGGGTNTCTCTTCGTCAGCTGATTGAGCACCGCAGCACATACAGCGACAAAATGTTGTTGTGTTTTTGGATGGTCTTCAACTTCAAGGACCACAAGGATTTGTGGAACTGTTTACTGATTTACGGACTACTCGAGAAGTATGTTCTGATTCTGAAAGCAAACTACTGTCAAACCTCGGGGGAAGTTATTACCTATGGTAAACTTTCACCATTGTCTACTATAATGGGCGGATCTTCTGCAAGGTTATCGTATTTATCCGTTTCTCCTCAGCTTTGACATTGATGGTGTCCTTCAAAAATGTGACTTGATGCAACAAACTGTGGAGCCTCCTCCAGGAGACATTTATATACATACATGCCAATGATATTGCCTTTCTCGGTGACAACCCACCACTGATTCAAAACACAATGAATCGCTTGGAAACTGAGGCTGTTTGGTATGACATGTGCTTTGCACCCTCAAAGTGCAACGTCCGCCCTATCGTGCGTTATTTTCAGACATTGGGTCGAAATAGAAGAAACAGTAAGGTGGGCAAGCGATAAATTGATATAGATGGTTCAAGAGATCATGTTCGAACCTGGATTCTGTCGGGGCTTCCCTATTGGTCTCCAAAGATTCAGCTTACCTTTGGCTGGAGACGCTGATGAGTATGGCTTTGAATTGAAGCCATGGACGTCAATACATCCTTTCATGTCTGCGATCCCTAAAAGAAAAAAGATACAAATATCAAAAATGAGTGCAGTAAACGGACAAAAAGTTGTTATTCCCTACCCAAAGCTGATTATTATTATGTTGTTGTTGTTGTTGCCGTTGTTGTTTGTTCTGCTTTTGTGATTTTCTTTCAATCTATGGTTACTCTGACATAAAACTGATTCGGTGTGTCGTCACCATGAATTTAATTCTTTCCCCAGTGTAAAGTCATTTGTCTTATCGCTTATCCGTCCGGACCATACCCTACAATCATTTGTTTATATTTATGCGATAGCTTCCTTATCCCTTCTCTACCGTTATTACCATGGGTTTCACTGTGTAAATCTTGCCGATCCTACTGCTCCTACACTTTTATTTGCATATCAGATCCAACCAAGGCACCCAACCAAGTCAAGCCAAGTCACCCTTACCAGGTGGCTTAAAAAACCTGCCTAATGGTGGTGTTCAGTCTCTTTTTCCAAGAGTCAAAGAACTGCGTACCGCTCTTCTTCAGTCCGTTCTTCCTTTTTCTTGCAACCTTTCTATATTAATGCACAGAATCTGCAAGTTGTGTTTTGGATTAATTTCCCCCACCCCCACTGTGCAGAAGTCTGTAATGTCATAAGGTTTGCCCTTCTACTGTAAATCATGCTTACAATATGTGTGTGATGAGTGATGAAATCCATTCTACTTCGGTGGACAAATGCGAAGACAAATAAATGATATGCTTCATTGACGCAATCAACTTAATTGGTCACATGTTGTATAGTTCTATTTCACAACTAACCAGCTTTCTTCTTTGTCTTCGTTCTTACCCGAAGAAGTGTCGCTCGTTGCAATTGAATAAATCATTGAAACCCCACCGTATGGTTTTAACCTCATTAAGGCCTATACATTCTAACCCATCAAAAATGCTCTATCTGTAACAGTGTTACAAATTTTCTTAGTGAACTACACAGTAGATTTCTAACAGACCTCACAGTAGGCGGTATGGTGGGGTTGGAATGTGTTTTATGATGAGATCTTTATTTTCAATCTTTGGGATGATATCTGCTCATTTAAACTCCCATTGAACATTGATCAATAAACACTCGGACATTCCGTGTGGGATTCCGTTGTAAAGTTTCACAGCCTTTGCTCTCAAAAAGAAGGCAGTTGTTGCATTTCCTTCCCTGTTCTCGATCGCTCACGCAAAACTTCGATTTACCACACTAGGGGTTGACCAACAAATATGGTTCATGTGAAAAAACATCGTCTCTGAATGCTCAAGACAGTTAACTTAGTGTCTCCATTTCTTGACTGTATTCGAACTCTAACCCCTCCACTACCGTTTGTACAGTCGCGATCTATTTATTAAACTTCAACATCATCTTCATTGTTCGTTCTTGTGTTTATCGTGACACACGCCCGCTTTATGCGAGCTGGTGCTTAGAGTAGATGAAATGCTGGCATCTCGCAACGTCTGTCTTCGCTGGATTTGATGAGTGGAACAATTTTGCAAAAATGATCTGTTCGGGAGGAGAAAGAAAACCGCCAAGTGAAACCCTTAGTATTCAAATGGGACACTGTTTTCCACTGACGAAGGAAGAAACCCAATCCAGACCTAGGCTCGCTTGGTATGATTACCGTACGCTGAACATGACCGCATCATCAGTGTTTGTGAAGTGGGCAGTTGGTTAGGCCCAAATTTACACCCCGTTTAGAACACGGAACCTACACCCCCGTCCGGGTGTGTTTGCTTCTGTTCCCAATTCACTCGCTTGTTCCAACTTGACCTGGGACACATGCACGTATTCGGGCCGGAGGAAATGGGTCTGCAATTACGTTGTGCACACGTTCCCGTGCCACACGGTATTGTCATTCTATGCCTATCCGCCTGCCTCCTGTATGCACCGACTCACCCACCCACACACGCCCAGATGAGCGTAAAGTCACAAATCGGCGCATATGAACGTGACAAGACACGTTTGTCCCGTGCGCACGCATACACACGAGCGCGCGGGCGCACAAGCCAGGGCCATGGGAATCGTGACTATTCTGTTCAAATAAGCGCTTGGCGAACGGCGTATTACTTCGGTCTTTTGTGACGCAGTCAAACTGAGTCATCGTTCATGGGCTATAATCTCTAAATCAACATTCGGGGTCGATTTTGATGGGGTTCTGTTCGATTAGGTGAGGACCTTTCAGTGGGGTACAGTCACACCAAACAGATCGCATTGTGAGGATGAGCCTGGACGACTCACTCACTCTCTAGGCCATTGGCGGCGAAACGGAAATATATTCGCTCCCTTTGAGTCTTGTAATGCCGACCCGCGACGATTATGATTCAGCCATGAGAAAAGTATAAAATGCACTGAGCTGATCAGAACCACCCCCTGTTACAAGCTGTAATGCCAACTTTTTCATTTATTAATTAGTTTATTCTGCTTTTCTTTGTTGAATGAATAATGTCAGTTCTAAGGAAGGAGGAAAAGACTAATCAGAGGGTTGCCATGTAACACAGAAAATGGGCAAGTCATGCCGTGGTGGTGGGATTCGAACGCATGTCCTGCCGGGGCGACAAGTTGGTGACCATTACCCCTTGACCACCAATGCATACCCAAAGATTGAGTAAATGACCATTATGACCATTATATGTGATAAACAGACGAAAACTGAAGATTTTGATCACTACCGTTTTCAAAAATTGTATCATCAGTGTTATGCTACGACACAATTTACTGCGAAAAGCTGGTAGGATCGAAAAACATCTATGGACTAAATTGAAATTCAAGACTAGTCCACGCCCCAACATCTACACTTAATTTTCAACTGCGCAGCAGAGCGATGCATGATTATTGTGGCTGGCTGATCATTGACCGTTTCATCCAGTCATTGCTGAGTACCAAGACTGTTTTTTTTATACTGTTCCTAGCAGGTAAACTGGCTGGTTTAGATTGATACATCAGTGATTAGTCTTTTGGTTGGGTTATCACGTCACCGTTTCGGTCAGTTGCCGCCTTCGGTCTTCCTTGAAGAATATCTCGGGCGTCGGTTTCTTATATTACGTCTACGTGTTTCGTTTTAGTCTTCGTTCCTATTACGAACGGTTACTGTCTCTATACCTAATCTTTCACTACTCTCATGCCTTATGTGGCCTTATGTGGTTTGCCAGTCCAATTCCCGGGGCTTAGGTTGCCGGTTTCCACCATAGAAAAGCAGTTCTTCGCGACCGTGGGGTCCACCCCGTCTTCTGTTCACCATACAATAAGTGTGCAATGATAATAATAATAATAATAATAACAAAAAATGAAATACCTATACAATCTATCAACCTAGTCGATGGTCAGAACATACAAAGCGTATCTGTAACTTTAATAATGTTCAATGTTTACTGAAGTAGACAGGGACAAAGTGAACGTGAAAATCAAACAGAATTATAAGAATTCATCTCGGTAACCGAAGTTTTCTGCCTTCTTGCCTAAGACTTCTATCTACTCCGAGTTTTAAAATATCGAATAATCTGATTCATTCATATCTAGTTAATCTAGTTGTTTTTCTCAATTTGTCCGGCTTATGTATTTTTTGCTTTCTTCTCAGTTTTCCCATTTATTTGTCGTTTGGGTCATCGAATAACAATAACCAAAGACGGCTCAATTAGTTACTACATCGGTTTATTGCTAAGTGAACAGAACTACTTTGTATTTCGTCATGGCCAATGTTTCTCTTCTCATTTTTACTCACCATCATCATTCTTCAGGCATGCCTGTTCCACTACTTTCCGTCCAATTCGAGATCACAGTCCCGAGCATAAACTGACTCCCATTCGTTCGGAAGAGACCAGCGCAGAGAATAGTCTGAAACACGATCTATTTTGGCACAAACGAGAGCAATCGTGCGACAATTCTCCAAACCCCGGTCATCATCAAATCGGTCCCAAACGTGCGAGTTCATTTCGTCACTGGAACTCCGGACCGTTCAAACCGATTTCCGACAAAACCGATTCGACTGGGGTCAGTTTCTCTCCTCCGGCGTCTCCTACTCTTGTTCCGGTCGCAGATTCATTGCAAGCCCAGGTTGCATGTGTCACCACCTTTTGCCACGATGTACCTGATCAGCAGGAAAGATTGTGTGCTCTTTGCTTACACTCACTGAGTGTGGACGCGAATTCCGATGAAGCATTATTCCAATGCCGAACGACAGACTCCGCACAACAATGTGTGGCTACTTTTCACCGGAGTTGTTGCCAGATTTGTAAGTATGTTTTTCACAATCGAAAACTCTATACGGTTTTCAGCAAACCTGTTGAAATAAAACCAGTTCACTTAGTTGAAAGCACACTGATTACAGTGCGGAAACGCTTCAGTAGATCAAAAGTTATTTTCGTCCGTTATCTAGTCAGACAGACTGTACGCATTTGCTGAACATAATGAAAGTGTCCCTTAAGAAGACGTACTTTATTTTTTACCTCAATATAAAATTCATTGCATATGTGAATAATGGATTGAATATAATGAATCAATTGCTCTAATAATGCTCAAAAGAACACGGTATCCCGAGTGCTGCACTTTTCAAGAACCTCACTGGTTAACTTATGATCCTTGTGAATAGATGTTGCTGACTCCACTTGAATGTAGTCATTCCATTCGTCTTCTTTGTGTCTGATCCTTATAAAGTGGCCTGCCATTAGGGACCGTGATTCTGTTAACAATATCAATGACAGCCGGTGAAACAAACTTATATATTGCCACTTATATTGCCACCACCAATGCCGGGACAAGATAACGGTTGTCTCTACATGTCGTTGCTATATGTGTTGCCATCAGTGTATAGGTGCAAACACGTATGCGTGAGACTGACGGGGAGACTTTGTGCGTGTTTTTGCACCGTATCTTTTCAATCCCAAGGATCGCCAAAAGCACAGTTCACATTGCCGGGACCAAAGTAGTTAACCCCTCATTAAATCCCGTAAAACGAACCTCCCCGAGATGTGAATGAAAACAAAAATGCCGCCTTTATTAGTTCACTGTCATGTCATCTTTTAGTGTCTCTTACCAACTGGTTACAGTGTCATTTGAACCCCCATCCAGAATAGGTGAGACATTTTATGTGCTTATGATTTCCCATGTAGTTGCTCAAACTGAAAACAGTGCACAATCTCTCATTTATTCGGGTAGAATCGTTTTGGACCCAGCAGTTTCCGAAACATTCAAATTAGGGCACACTAATAAATATTGAGTACAGAACACAGGCAAGCATAAGCGCTCTTTTCAGCATTTTAAATATTGCATAAACTTTAATAATCGATTGAATGAAAACTCGGGGTTTTATACAGGACCTCGTGGTTAGAACAGAAACAAGTGTCGGTTTGAGAAAATCAAAGCACTAATTTCCCGAAATAAACTTGTTGTGTTCTTTATTCAGCGTTAAATTATTATTAATAATATATCAACGAATGAGAGGGGGAACCCTTAAAAGTTTGTTTATTGCTCAGAACGGAGAAGTTCGTTGTTGTGAATCAATCGTGCGAAATGATGTCAGTTTTAAATAGAGCTCATTCAGTATGATCTATCTAGTAACTTTAATTCTCTGTCCTTAATTTCACTGACTATCTCACCTAACATAGTGGCGGAACATTCATAATTTCTGTAACAGGCTTGGGGATCAAACCATCACTACCACCACCACCCACAACAAACATACCCATTTCCCGATTTGCGTAAAACAGAACTTTAATAGACTCTTCATATCGAAAAAAAATCATAAACAGGGTACAGTTGGGGAATGTCCAGTCATTTGGAAATCTTCTTTTATTCATTTCGCCCAATCCAACAACACGTGATGCTCACATTGTCTTGCTTCTTTCTACAGTCGATTTTTTGTCCCTTTCTCGTCCGATTCATATCGAGACTCACGTGATTCTTATTTACACCGCTTCACTGAGTCATTCGTCCCTAAGCGAACCATGTATTTATATAGGTAGATAGATGAAACGGAATTGGTGACTCATCTGGTGGTTAAGTCTGACTTGGTAACAAATGCATTTACAAATACACACATTCACACAGCTTATCGAGTGAACAAACGGGCTCAGTGCTAGTCACCACTCACATTGGTGTCCGTTTTTGTGCTCACCTAATGCCAGTACTCGTTTGATCCTGTTCGTCCTTTTCTGTTCTTTTCAATTTTAGTAGTCAAATCTGTGAGCTCTCACATCGCCCTATTTTGCTCATTACGGTAGGAATGAATGGACCGAATACCATGCCTGAAACCATCAATAAAAGTATACTTTAGGAGCAACGTGTCAAATTTCTATCAATTTAAATATCAGAGCTGTATAAATGAAACACCGTCAGGATAGACACTGCTTGATTGAATGACCTATGTGACTCAAGAGAGAGGGTTGTGGGTTGTACCTACTTTTGACTAACCATTGATGTGTTTGTTCTCTGAGATTACGTAGTTTACCTCATCCGTTCGATAGTTCAAAAATAAGTTTTCTATCCCGATTGGTAAATTCCGGATTGTAATCGGTCAATGGGTTCGTGACTCTCATAGCGGCAATTTAGACCCATTTATCGCATTTCTTTTCGTACTAACTTTTCGCTAGATAATAGGATTGCAACTGTCATTTAATTAATTAATTAATTAATTTTATATTGATTTGAACTGACTATCACTTGAACCTCACCTTCACTCATAATCCTCATTTCATCCCGTCAACCATGCACCCAGAAGCCCTAGACTCGAGTTTCTCTCTTATTAGGGATCATCATTAGTGCATATCCACCGTCACGTCCGGGCTTTAAACTCCGGACCTATTGCATGCAAGGCGTTTATCACTGTGTCAACCAGTCAGTTCAAGTAAATATCAACTATCCCACACCATTACTCACAAGTAACTGCGAGTTAAATGCTTATTTTGTATTGTATGCCCAGCCATTTCCACCACCGTAGTATATCAGTTTAGATTACCAGTGATGGGAGATTCACGTCATTTATTTTTCCCTAAATGTTGGATTATTTCAGCTCAAGTCCACGGGCCGTTTTGATGATGAATGAAAGGTGGTGGTTGCTAGTTCTGCGTTAGATGCAAAACCAACATTCAGTCTCTTGTTCATACCGATTCTGCACTGTGGATAGACCGTAGACTATATACAATGCGAGTGTTAAACTGCTCCATCACATGTCAATTCCGGATTTATTCAGGGACTATTCGTCGCACGATTTCTTGCAGTTCGTTTTGTATTCGGACTTTGCGTTAAAACAAACCTTCGAATGAGGTTCACAACAATGTACACGGAAGTTATCACAACCGGAAATCAGTTTCTTCCTTCTACTTAGCCCGACTGTGCGCTTTATTCGTCCAAATTGGCGGTGCAGATTTGTTTTGCAAGCAACATTTGATAAAACCCCACTGACTAACATTGTACAGACACACTGATAAACCAGCTTGTAGAAGATCGCTTTTTTATTGAGCCCAGTAAAATACTGGATCAATGTGACCACAACTGATAATTACATTGTCAAATATGACACGATACAAACAGATTTATTTATATGTAAACCAATTGAGTTTCCTATAACAGTCGATTATCTCGAAATTCATGTACTAGTGTGTTTTCCACGTTCTACTTTACTGTTCACCCGTTGCTTTCTATGATTTCTTAAAGAAAGACTTTAAGCTATTTCAACGTGGACTGACCTCTTCGATCCAGCTGGATCAAATGATAACTAATCTGTGTGAACGTCATTTGAATGCTGTTGAAAAGTTTGCACACAAGATTCTTATGGATACTACATATTCATTGCACACAGACTTGATTTCCTGTCGTTCACAGCCGTCAACTAGATCCCAATGTCTCGCATAATCATATAATGTAAATCTACCGTGCCATCTTTAGCAGGTATTCTGGTTAAAAACTTTTCTCAAACTTTGTTGAACTTTTCAAGATTTAACTTTTTTCTTTACTGTGTAAAAATTTTGACTGCAAGGTAGGCTTAAGCCTATAGAAGTTATGATAATAATTACAAAAGGATAATCATGATCACAAAATAATTATTATTGGTGTCACAAAGTACGTTCTGCTTCGCCTCATGCTTGTCACAGGAATATGATAAAATACAGAATAACATATGGAAAGTCGTTTAACTTTGACTGAATTCACCGTTAGAAAAATAAAACATTGAATAAATGTCAGACGTGAGATATTACTTACCCTTGGGAGGACAACCTACCACGTGAAAGTTTGCGAGCGAAACACGCGTTTTTGGGCAACAAAACTGAGTGACCATGACACAATTACTTGTTATGTCTAGCAAAACCACGCCTTCGAATGTCCAGTTTCAACTCTTCAACTACTGACCTCCCAAAGTCTGAAACTAACTAAATCAGCGCGAAATTAGTATTCAAAAGCGTACATTTGTGCTACATTTCAAGGAAAGACGTGCTTTTTATAGATACATATTTCGACATTTAGAATTATAGAAAATGTGCGCGAAAGCCGATATTGGAACATTCCAGGACAGAGGTGACCAATACGGTTGAGCAGACTGTACACAGGAAGGATACTTTTGTCACAGATATCTCATTTGTGGTTAGAACCATCTGACCCATGTATAGAACATCAAATCATAGTAATTATTCATAAATGGACGGGCGTTGAAAACGAGATATTGGTGTCTCCTATATGTATATATGTATACTCCAGATCGTGAATCAGTCAACCTGTAACATGTGTATTGGATTTTGGCGAAATACTTTTCCAATGAAATTTAAGTCACTACTTAACCCATAAATACAACCATTTTACAAGCGAACGGGGAATTGAAGATCGATAAGTCACCACAATTCCCCACGACCCCTTTCAGTTTGCATATACACCAAACAGATCTACATTGGACGCCGTATCCACTCTAGTGCATTTTATCAGCAACTCATTGAACCATTCGATCAAGTCTGTCCGTTGTGTTTTTCTTGACTATTCGTCTGCGTTTGATTCTCTTTCCCGATCATCCCTTCTTTTCAAACTTGAATCTTTTGGCACTCCAAAACAACTGCTCTCACGGCTTGCCGACTATTTCACACGGAGGGTCCAATGCACCACTTTAGGAAGGAGGGAATCAAAACCTCTTGTTAACAAATCTGGTGTTCTTCGTGGTGCTGTTCGCTCTCCATATTTTTTTCTGCCTTTATTAGTGACCTTTCTGTCCCACCCCTGCGCACATCCAAAAGTATGCTGATGACGACGTTT